TTTTTTATATTATATATTATTGTGATATATGCTCCATGAAATTCACACTATACGTAATAAGATGGAGAATTATAGATGTCATGTATGTATGTGTAATAAATAAAAATTGAATGTATAAAATGTCACGGTGGTTAATTTATTTGTATACTTATATTTTAATTATTATTCTTTTAAGTGTAATTTAATAAAAAAAAGCTGATGAAGGTAAAAAATAATTTTTTTTTCCATTTTGTCACTAAATAATCGATCTGTAAAAAAAACACTTTCGGTTGTTTAAACGATTTTATAATATACACTACAGGTATTATATTGTAATTATGTTTTAGATATAATATATACTCGTAAATAATATAGGTATACAGTATTATAATCCACGTGGATTTAACGTCTCCACTCAGCATATAATATGCATAATACCTATAATATAACACTATAATAGTTTACCAATTACTATACGGTATGGCAATTTAAATGTCTTAGGCGTTTCAAAATCAATATCTGAGAAGATTGCAAATTTTTACTCTTTCTCTCGTAGCGAGTATATAAAACTTTCATACTCGTCCACAGCCATGATTAACTGTAAGGATTTCCGTAATGCCAACAAAGTGCTGGCAAACGAAAGTTAACCGTTCGTTTTTCTTTTTTTTCGTCTTCTACTATATACAACGCATAAATCCACTACACTGTGCGCCAGCATTTATATTATACGCCAACAAATTACTAAACTTTGAATTTAATAAAATTATTAAACTTTGTAAATATAATACAATTATTAATCTCACTTCCGTGGGGTTAAAAAAAACAATGAATCCTTTAAAATGGTCAATTATAGAACACAGTGTTATCGTAGGCAAAACTTTGCAGTTGATGTTAACAGTGATAACAACGACATATAAAACTTATAATTTTCATCCGTAGAATAATAATTAATAAGTAATAAACAATATCAGTTCTACCCTCGTATCGGCTTTACTCCGTGTTCCCTATAACAACTATTTATTACAGTGTTCAATATAAAAACAAATTCATTTATTATTACCTACTGTAGGTAAAAGGTGCTCTGCTGTACAGTAAGTTACAAGTGGGTCACTGTATAATGGATGGTATTAAATTTGAATTCAATGATATAATATCATTGTATAAGAAAAACAATTCTGAGCGGAGACGGTGTGTCAGTCTAGGTATCAGATATATCATATACTTATCTATGGTATTAAAAAAAATTGACCTATAATTAAATCCAAATTAATCATATCACAATATCCATTACTTATAACGCGTTATACATCAACAACAACCCCTGATACTATCATAGATAATTATATATATATACATTATACTATATTGTATCTATTAACTTGTCGGTTTATTTTTAACTGATAATATGAAATTGGAGGGAAATTTGTTATCAAGTGTTACCAATACAAGGGATGTTCAACGTGTAACCTAGTAAAACCACTTTGTTCAATCTGGTATTATACAAACACCAATAATCATAATTATTGTTACAGACTGTGAAGGTTGTAAGCAATTGGCATGCATTCGGTGTGGTATAAGCATTTTCAAGAGTTCTGTGTAGATTATTTTAATTTTTAAAAAGCGTCTCCATATCTTGTATTCGGTATTGCTATCTTTTTTGTCAGTAGATGTTACGCCGTTTTACCAGAATATGATTGTGATTTATCTGAAAATGTAGGTAACAAAAACTTATTTTTTCGATTTTGTGTGGTAAACCCCTTTTTAAAAAAATACCGTTTATTGTATAGTTTGTATAGTTTGAAAAAGCCTAAAATATTCGTTATCAATTTTAAATTTGCTGCTCATTATTATATATAGTTTTTGAAACCCTAATGAAAAAATACCACGTGGCGCGTTAGCTTCGAGTCGCAGTTGCTATGAAACGCACTATACCTATTATGGTTAGACATTATGGTACGACATAATTATGTAGTTCCGGCGTGTCCACGAGCAACACCGCTGATCGAGGAAGTACATCCCACAAGCGCACTATTTGATACAACACTCTATGAATAACTGTATATAAAATAATTATATCAGTGTAACGCAAACCTCACTACCCAACGCTGCCGGCTTTTTTGGTTCAGTACACTAGTATAATATATAATATATATATCCACTATGAAATTTTTTTGATTAGTTATAATATTTTTATTGATAATAATTATAGTTTATACTACTAGATAAGGCTGAATCTATAATTTATTATAAAATAAATATAAAAGTATAAATAAATATAAAATTGTTATGTTATAGTTATCAAATTAAGTAGGCACAAGAGTTTAAGAGTTAAGACAATTAGTATAAAAATATGAATTAATTAGTTCAGCTATAGAGCGGGGGGCCGGGGGAGCTCGTTTGCTTAATATAAAACGGGACCCTATTCCTAAGGCTCTGCTGTCCATCCGTCCGTCTGTCTGTCACCAGGCTGTATCTCATGAACAAGAGCATCAAGAGGCATCGTTCAATCTGGTCTGGATACAAGAGGGGTATAATAGAAATTTATTACCCCCGTCCCAGGAAAGGAGTCCCGCTTATTTACATCAATTGCAAGAGAGGTCAAAATGGGCGAACTAAAAGGGACCCAAAATAGCTATCAACAACATGGTTCTTATCCGTGAAGAAAATCTACTACCCTTACGGTGGAAAATAGAACGTGTGAGGGGAGACTCAGTGTTGTTAAAATACATTTTATATAGGAATCCGTTCAATTCCTCGTTCCTTTAGTATAAATAGGAATTCGTTCAGTTCCTCGTTCATTTAATGTCAAAAGGAACTCGTTCAATTCCTAGTTCATATGAAAAAGGAACTCATTCTTTTTCTCGTTCCTCATGGTTATGAGTTATTAGTTATTATCATAATCACTAATCCGAACACAGTCATATGTGAATAAAAAATTGGTAGTCTCGTCTATTATATTTTGTATAGATTAAAAACATGATAAGAAACAAAAATTCAAAATTTTTCTAAATAAATGTTTTTTTAAACTCTTCCGAGAAGAACAAAAGAATTATAATATTTACGTTCCTATTCCTAAAAATGAGGAATTGATTCACGTTCCTATTCTTTTAAAAAATAATGGAATTTATTCCTTCATTCGTTCCTCTAAAAAGGAATCAATTCCAGGAATCGTTAATTTAGGAACGCGTTTCTTAACAACACTGAGGGGAGTGATATGGGGGGGGGGATGACGACATCATTCGTACTGCGGCAGTCAAAATGGTTGATGTGGAGGTGACTCGGGCAGTGCGCAAGCCGTGTCCGCTACCATTCGAAGGACATAATGCTAAGCCGAAGCTAAATAAATTTTTTTGTCTTCACTTTTCCTAAAACGAAGTATTTGTTAATGATTTTTTTTATTCTTATTATTATTAATATCATACAGTAATAGATTTGTATGGTATTATTATTTATTATGTTAATATATAAGCCATTGTTGTTGAAAAATATTTAATATTTAAATATTATGGATAAACCGGAATGATATAATTGTTATCGGCCAGTGTGACCGACGGTTTTAGCTTTTATTGGGTTTTAAAATATTGTACATAGTCAGTCGTGTTGGTTTCCGTAAAAACTTATATGAAACGAAAATAAACAAATTATAATAACTAAACTTGACTAAACTTCATCTTAATAATTACCTAATTAAATTAATACTTAAGTAAACTTGAGTACCCGAAGTAACCTTAACGCGATTTAATTACTATTATAATATCTATAATTTTACCCGCATTGGGATGTACAGTATACATATTGCGTATACATAAATATAATATTATAATAAAACAGATATTTATCAAATTTTTTTTTTTTTAATTATAATGTAATGAATCTGATCACTTGTTTTCAAAGCCAGCAATTTTGTATTCTTTGGGGACAGCGTGACGTATGATCACGAACGCATAGCCTATGTACGGGAATATGCAATTATGCCATTTGTGGGGAGGAGCAATATTGAAATGTCTGGACTCTGGAGGTTAAGCCCGAAAATCCCCTCGATGTTCGCCTATATATATAGGTTACGCAGTGTTTATTTCAGGGAGGTATTACCACTCCCCCTCTCCCCCCAACCCACGAAAAAAATATTTTTAATTTCCTTCATTATTTACTCCTATAATGGCATTCCCCTTGAAAGTGTACGATACCCCCCTGGATAAAGGTCTAAAATAAACACTGGGTACGACTATAATATATATTATTATAATATTATTGTAAATTAATTCTGCTGCAAACATTTTAACTGGTTAACATTTTCTAAATGGTCGGGCTTAAGGACCATAATCTAATTTTAGTTTCACTCCAATAAAATACACCTCGTCCATATACCTACGAAAACCGATCAGCATCAGCCGCATTACGTTAGTATACATTTTATTTACTATATACCTAAACTATAATCATTATTGTTATTAATCATTATAACGTAGGTAAACACATACGAAATATACTATAATATGATATATTATGTATAGGTATTATTTATATATTAATATGCATTTACGGGATTGTGTCATTGGATCCAAAATTGTGTGGGGAGATCATCATATGACAGGTGTGATTATAAGGTCGAGTATATTTTAATATAAAAATATTACTTTACCTTATTAAAAAAAGAATTAAATCGCGAATGAGTAGAAAATTATAATTATGATAACGTCAACAACGTTGTAATGTAATTACATCTTATCTTTATCCTACCGTCGACCATGCTTTCCAGCACAGATGCTATCATTGACTTTCAACATTTGCGTCATTGCAAGGCGGTACTTCTCGCCAAAATAACGGTCACCATGGCAACCTTTGCTCAGATCAATAAAATAAAATAATATTCCAGCGAGCCACAGCTCCGTGAGAACCGGGCACGTATATCATATCCGACAGCGACTGTAGACGACCATTGGTTGTTGACGAACAGCTATAATAGCCTATAATAATTATCGTCCATCATTGACCACTGTCCAAATTCCCGTTGACTGATAATGGAGCGCTGCAACGATTACAGAAACAGAATGATGAGAAGATCGGTCAGGCAATATTTTCACTTCGTGTACTATAATCCGCGCTTGGTTTGCAGGATTATGTCTTGTTTGAACGTGGTTAGTAATTATTAGTATATCACGATTTATAATCTATAATTATTATGTTATGTACCTATACCTAATATTATGATAATAATTTTAAATTTAGGTACATTATTATTCACGTATCGTGACTTTATTATAAATTAAATGATTTATCAGGTATTGTATAGGTACTTAACCTGCAACTGGTCATTGTTATCATTCATTTAAGATATTTTAGTTTAAGATTTCCCTAACTTTCATGCAAACATGGGGTGGCCGGCCATTTAGTCGTGCAACAGGGCTGAATTCTAGAGGGGTTGTATCGACCGGGTTCGTTACCTAGTAGAAAAGGGAACGCTAATAATCGCATACCATTATACCAATCAATACACCTAGGTTCTAGGTATCAGAGATGACGGTGGATCCGGAATTCGATTTTGGAGGGAGTGGTAAAAGCGCAAAGGATCTTACTCCCCATAACACCACTCCACCACCCATTTTTAATATGACGTTTACATAATATTATGTTTCATACATAAGTGTTGCAGGTATCGGCACAATAGGGTCATAAATCATAATACATAACTAACAATTTATTATTACATTATTGCTTAAAATAGGCCACTGAAATACATTGTTTTAATTTCGGCTGAGAATAAAAATATATTATTTAGAGACCATAATATTATTGTATATTAAGAGGATTTAAAGCCTAACTTAAATTGTTATCTTATACGTGTAATCTCCTTAAACAAATAATATCCACAATCTAAAAACGTAAAATCATACTCAAGAATTCGGAAATATTCAAATTAATTTAGTTCCCATACATTTTCATTTAATTACCATACACTGCACACGAGTGCATAAGTTAGACTATGACTATGATGTATTGCCAATAAATGTTACTCCAGTCTAAAAATCCCTCAAAAGAAACCCAATCAAGAATCGTACATGGTATATCTATAGATAATCGATATACCTATTATCATTTAAGTAATAGTATTTTGTATCTTTATACTTACAACTTACTTATATTTTTCGTGCATTATGTATATTGTATATAATATTGATTGGTTTTACACTTTTACTTTATATATGTATATTTTTTTAATTTATTAAATATAACCCTTGGCAGCAACGGCCATTGGGATTAACAAAAAAGTATTTACAATAAACGATTATATAACTTGTAGTAGGTATAGTTAATTTTATAACTTATTTATTAATTTTGAAGTGATAATGAAATTGATTTAGTTATGTCTGGAGAATTTCTTAGTGATGTAGAAATATGCTCCGATAGATTATCTTTTTTCCTGAACTCTTCGTTTATAACTTAACATAATATTATATTAACTACTTTAAACTTAATTTGTTAAACCAATTCAAAAATATTAATTTGACTGAAAATGATTGGATGTATGTTGACTTATTTATTATACGTATTTTAGATATTTTTTACGGCACTTAGCACGATTTTGGTATACAACATATTTTGCGCCACATATGTCAAACAGCAATCGTCTTCTACTTTCAAGCCCAGTGAAGATGGTAAGTCAATACTAATATAGGTACTATATTATTATGTTTTTAAATAAATAAACACACAACCTATTGTATTAATAACTAGGTATGGGTTTTCAGCTAATTTGTAAAATTCCTCATACTTTTAATCATATGCGCAATAGGTAGGTACATTTTCATCGGTGATTTATTTCTGTCGGCCAACAACAATCAAAGTTAACGAGTGTAACAGTTATATTATCAAATAGTCGTTGGAAAATCAAGGTCCATGAAAATTGCAAAACAATATTGTCTCTAACTATTAATACTCTTAAATTATTTAAAGTGCAAATATAGATTTTAAACTCGTACATTTATGAATGAAAACTATTCTAAACTTAATACTGTGGTTTTGCTTTTCATGTTTGTACGTTTGTAGAAGAAGAGTTGGATTTGGATTTACAAATACCAGTCGAGTTGGTGTATAAAAATCAAGGTAAAGTGATCACCAAATCAATGTTAAATTTGATTTTTACTGCTACGATGCTTCTTGTCAACATTCGTCTGCTATTGGCAACGTATAATGTAAGTTATTGGTATTATAATAACATTATTTTTATCTTTGAAATGTGTGTGTATGAGTAGTAAAAACATACCTCAGTGTCGTATAAACCTAGTGGTTTTAAACTGAAGTACAAATTACAAAACATGTATATTTTGATAATGACCTTATAAAAATGTCTTGAATTTGAAAATACATCTAATAAAATGACACGTTATAGTCTGTATGAATGATAAATAAACAATTATAATTTATGATACTAAAATTGTTTTGAAGATTTCAGAAAAATATGTATGGGAGACTGTGTTAAAAAGATAACATGTTTTAAATTTAACATCGTCAATTTTCTCTTCCGGGTTCAATCACGGACTAAGATATAATGGACTGGAAACGTCATGGTCGGCGGGGGTAGGGGGGGGTTACGGCCACGAAAAGTCAAAAGGTGTCACTTAGCTGATAAGAATACTGTTCTTGAAGTTTTAAGCGCTACCGGTGGTTTTATATTTGAATTCACAATTTGCATCTTAGTCCGTGTTTTATACAGAGGGCTCTGTAAACTCTAGGAACACATTGCGACCCTCCGAATTTTGCCTCTTGTACATATATACGTGGCCGTGATAAGCTGCTCATTTCCAGTCCATAAATTATATCTTAGTCCGTGGGTTCAATAAACAAATATGAAAAAAAATAATACAACAATTGCCCCACTTTATTGTGATTATTCCCTCTTTATCAATATGGTGATATCACATTTTCCTTATCCGAAAAAAAAATACCTCCAATTGTAAATAAAATTCTTCATTTTTTATTTGAGTGCCTACACGTAGTTTTTATTTATTTAAAGTTGTTTTTGTGGATGTATAGAGAAAGAGCTGTATGTACTTTAGTCAGTTATCTACGAACTAATTATTTATTGATGTGTAAACATCTATGCTATCGATTTGTAGTACGACCTTCTTGGGGAATTGAGCGTCAGGCCCAGGCGTAAGTCATGTAGATGTGACTGCTTGTGTGTGTGTGTGTGTGTCGTTGCCATAGCGCTAAAATCGCAGAACCAATAAACCAGGCGAGTTGCTTATCTATTATTTTCTTTGTTATTTTCACGAGTCTGGTAGGTGCGAACGCGCTCTGGTACAGTCGTCGGCCGATTCATTATTATTATTAATATTATTTATTATTCTCGTTTACGTATACGCGCAAAACCGTGTTTGTATCGTATAATATGTATTATACAAATTCCCACTCAAACCATGACATTATATTCCCCGAACAAAGTCGTACTACAGCTAAGATGTTTACACATCATTTGTGAGTACAAAGGCACTCACATTTTCGTATACAATGATATGATATCATTGAATTCAAATTTAAAATAACCCATTACAGTTACCAACTTGTAACCTATTGTGGAGCAGAGCGACATCCACTTACCCGCTTTTTTTTTTATATATATTTACTTTCTTCTATAATATTATTGATAGAGGACAATTATTATAACCGTTAAACTGGGGACAAATGTACCTAACGACTAACATTATATTAGGTATATTCTACCACAGTTAATAATTTTGTTCCTTATATTTAGTTGTTATAAAGGCTTAACCATGATTCATGGCACTATATTACTGTGAACATTTTAGACTGAATATTTTTGTATTAAAGAAGTTTTAGTAGTATTAGGTACCTAATTATACATTTTAATTTAACTACACTTTATGTAGGTACTGTACCTAGGTATGTTATTAGGAATATGCTACCAAGCCTAATAATTTCTAATGAAGGATTAAACAATTAAAAGGCTGTTAAGCTGATCTCGCTTTGCTGTACAATAGGTTACAAGTGGGTTAATGTATAATGGATTGTATTAAACTTAGAAAAATAATAAGAAAATATAAGAAAAACGATTCGGAGCTGAGACGGTTTGTCCGTCAGGATATTTTATATTGATATTATTTATTATAGCCTGTAAGTTGAATTAATATTATAATATTATTATTTTTCTATTCGTTTCTATGGTGATAAACAAAGCGTTAGAAATTAAAATCCCATTTTTACCGGTTATTCGTAATTTGTCTGTGGTTTTTCCCGTTGCATTAAATAAGTATTGAGAAAATCGAAAATGAACTCTTTAAAGTACCGTTTCTATTCAATTCACTAAAAGATAAGGTACTAAATGTTGAAATCAAAGCACTACTTCTGGTAGAAATTTTGTATACAGGTTAAAAAAAATAAATAAATAAAATAAACACCATTGTAAACCACTAGTTTCCTCGCTGCGCTCAGAATTTAAAATATATTTTATTATATAATATAATAGTTCCTGAATGCAATATGTTTGAGACAATTTTTTTTTTTCATCAAATTATGTGGATCCACCTGTAGAAGTTAAGATTGAATAATATAAACATAGGTATTTAAAAATATTATGAGTTAGTTAATAAATTGATTGCGAAATCAAAAAAGTTTGAATTTTCTCAGAAATATAATATAATATTATATTATAATAGTATTGCGAATGTTAAAATTGTACCAGCTATCTTTCCTATAATTTATGTGTGCAATTTATGTTTCTAGATTTCCTACCAAAATCCAGGGACACCTTCATTGGGGGGGGGGGAGTAATAACCGAATTATATCTTAAACATTAGTAACTACGTATTAATAAATGGCATATGAATGATTAATATATCCGTCCAACTAACTACTAACGCATAATATAGGAAATTTTACGTTTAGAATTATTTATTTTACTCTTTTGTTTTTAATATTAGAGTAGTCTTATTACATGTTATCAAATTTAAAGGTAAGAATATTATTTAAGACCTTATGTAGCATCAGTGTTGGGTAGTAACGTAACGAAAGTAACGCGTTACGTAATTTCATTAGAATTATTTTCAAGTAACGAAAATGTAATGGAAATTATTTTTGAAAAGAAATTTCTAAAAAATAACGCGTTACAGTTTCGAATTATTAAGTACCTACCTACCTATTGCGAATTGAAAAAAAATATATGTATAAAGCTGGTATTATTATTTTTACCAATCTAATGTGTATATTTAATATATTTAAATATTTATATATTTAATCTTAACTCGCCACAATTCATTTTTCAATGGTTTTGACATTTGAAATGTTTAATTCCACCTAAATCACGAGAACAGTTAATTCAATTTATTATTTAATTTGATTCCTTTAAATATGTTTCCTATGAATAGCTTGTGTGGAAGGCTAAGTTTTATAGGACCCTATTAACTATACAGGTTTTATAAAGACTTTGCTTGTTCAATTTGCCTACAGAAGATAATTACGTACCAAGTAATTTAAATTTTTTTTCTTTTTTGTAACGAGAAAGTAATGAGTTACTTTTCTATTTGAAAAGTAAAGTTACAGTTTTAAAGTACAGTTAGTAAGTACAATTTTATTTGAGTAACGATTCAAGTAACTTTTTAAATTTATCTCTTAGTAAAGAGTAAAGTAACTTAATTACTTTTTAAAAGTAACTTACCCAACACTGTGTAGCATTATAAATTGTTTTTTTAGTGAATTTTAAAGTTTCAAAATAAAAATATTAAAAAAAGCCTAGGAGAGGCCTAACAATGATATATTCCTATCTTCAAATTTGATATTAAGTCAATTCATTAACATATAAAAAATAACAGTCTACAATTAATTATTCTGAACGTAAACTTTGAGTACGTGAGACGGACAATATAATTTCAATGAATGATAATGAAATAAAGTATCTATAACCTATAGGTATATCTAAACATGTTACTTATCATATTTTATACAAATATTTGAGTAACATATTATTATTTTGATATACATATTATGTACCAATAATCATTATTAATTGATTTAAACCTTTTTTTTATTCAGAGAAATCTTTATAGTATTTCCATTTGGTTGTTTGTACATACAACGCATATGTTATATTCACTATACGTCAATTTGTGGGTCGGAGCATCCAAAGATTATAATTCGCTTATATATCTTGCTATGTTCAATACTTGTAAGTATAACAATTGTATATTAATAGTACTCGTCGTCGTTTGGCGAAAATAATAATTTTAACCAAAAAATTGAAATATTAACAGTCTATTGGGGCGACTATAATATTTTATACCGTTTGAGCGAATGAAATTATTTTTACCTGCGTAAGATAAAAACTTGGCGATTTTGATGCGAACATTTTTAAAAATAGGGTTCATTAGTAATTATTCATATTATCATACTGTACATCGTGTAATATCGAATATTAATTTTTTTAATAATTGCAAAATTGTTAGTAATGTTGGTTGTATATTACAAAATATGTAAATACTACTGTTTACTATATAAATATCTTTTTTAAATTAAGAGTTCATTATTAATTATTTATTATGTGTTTTTCAATATTGACCATGTACATTACTATACAATATATAAATTAATTAACCTATAAACCTTTAACCTATACATACTTATTCACTCAAATGGTATTTTTTGTGGAATAGACACTCGCCCAATCAGTATATAACTTTACTATTCACCCAAACAGACCATATTTTGGGTTGATTAGCCCAAACGGTCCACGCCCTTAATGAGAGTATCGTTAAATTAATAATAATTTAACAATAATAACTAGTGTTATTCAAATTAATTCTAGTGCTTTATCTTCTGTTCATATCTCTGGTGGCATTGTTTTGGATGGAAGAGCGTTGCAGCACGAGCATTCCAATGTGCACAAAGGATAAAGCGGCCACAAGTCAGGAAAGCGTGGCTTAAGGTTAGGTCATAATATAAATATGACCAAATCTAAACTCTTTAGTCAATTTAGAATACAATATTACTTATAGTATAATTATAAGTAAGATATTATATAGGTACCTTTATTATTTAAGCATAAAATGAGAGGTAACATTGTCCATTATACAACAATTACAATAGATACCTTACAGTTAGATTCCAAAATTAATATAAAACGTTTCTGAAAGTTCTTTGACATTGATACATTAACATCCATCAATGTACATATCGGAAATTTCCAAGCGTCATAGATCAGACTAATAAAAAATTACTTTCATACCAGGTTTTTTTTAAAAAGCAAGAAAATCGTTTCTAATTTATTAAAAGTAAAAAAATGTTCAATAAATTTTGAGTTATAAACATAAAAAAAAGTTATCAGTGTTCAGTTACCGATGTATCAACCTTATTCTATAAAATAATATGTTTTACCAAATAAAATGCAATGATAAAACACAATATGAACATCGATAATTTTATCTATGAATATATTTCTTCCTCTTACAACTCACTGAAAATGAATAAACAAATTTCTTATACAGTCATAAATGAAAATTGCAGCTGAATCCTTAAAAATCGGTGATTGTGATATTAAATTGTATGTTGTTGATAAATTATTCACGGCGATTTCGTAATCAATTAAATTATCTAAATATTTAAGTCCCTGTTTGGTTGTGAATAAAAACAAATCACTTGCTCTATTGGCTTGTATGGTGATTATAAAATATATAGGTACTATATAATATATAGGAGATTATAAACAAATTATAGGTATTTCATCGCTCTGGGTACAAATTTATTTCATTATTTTGAAAAAGAGTTATAGTTACCAGTGTACCATTAAATATAAATCCAAAGTAATGGTGATACGTTGCAAGATAAATAGTTTTGATTTTACTAAGCAAATAAAATACAATAGTTAACCACTTAAAGAATCAACGAAAGATTTTATTTGTAAATATATTTTTTTGTCAAAATTCCTTTTTAAAATTTCCTTTTTCAAAATTAATAATCAGATTTCTTATACAACCATAGAAGTAGTGGAAACTCCTTAAAAATCAGTTAACTGATTAGATTCCATCGAGGGGTTTTCGCAGTAAATTAAATTATAATATACTTAAACGGTGGTTAGCAATACAAGTAAAATAAAAAAAATTAACTACAAATATGAATCTAAATAGTGAATATGTTTTATACAGTTAAGTATTATTAAGGTTTACAAATAAAATTTAAAAATTAATCACAAGCATTGACCATTAATTGTTGGGTATTTACCTAATAAATAACCTATCTTATAGTCATAAATTTTTTTTTTTTTTTTTTGACGTTTGGAACCTATTTATATATATTTGAAACATAAAAATTTTTAAATGTTCCACAATTTTGAAAAACCTTACCTTTTTTTACCCTCGTATACCTAACTATTTAAGACTGAATGTCTATAAATGGGCGCCCGGGAATCGGACTACAATTCACCTTTTTTCAAAATGGTATACGGTAATTAGACCATTACAGTTTTACATTTATAGCAGCCACCAGGTAGACCCGAGGATTAACCCACTATTTTCAACGATTTTTTATTAATGTATTCGGTAATTGAGCCACTACATTAATATGTCATATATAAATTGCTTATTACAGATTTTATAGTTATAAACAAATTCCTTTGTTCGTTAAAATCTATTTATAGTGATCGGCAACGGCACTTTCATAGCATTTGTATCAATTATTTTCTATTCGTGGTTATAAAGATACCTATTTCATATGTTCATTTTGTCTACTTCAAGACAAGCAAAAATTAATTTATATAAAAACATTAAAATCAATTATCCTTTATTGCTCTGATCATGGTTTACAATTTAGGCCAACAAAAGTTACCGTCAATTAAAGGACTTTGCAATAAAGAATCAAGTTCATGTGTTGACATGAAAATTAAAGGGTGTAGATTTTACGTTGAGCAATCATGGTGGTGAAAAATTCAGGCCTATATATTCGTATATTTTTTCAGACACATTTATGGGCCAATCTCGGGGTACACTTTAAAAATATAGATTAAATTTGTGGCCAATCTCTGGGTTGTTAAATGTAAATAAAGATTTTATATGAAGCAGGTAGATGAAATGTGGCCCAATTGGCAATTACCGACCGCCCATCTGAATAATGTACCTGTAGCGATTGAACCTACTCGTTGACCAGTATAAAAACAAAATGTTCAAATAATTTAAATGCTACCATATTACCTAATCGTTAAAATAATATAATAAACTACCTCATTGATCATTGAATAATATACGTATTTGCAACTTTATTAAAATATCGGCCACAGAGCTACAAAAAATTTATTGATATTTAAACAAATTTAAATTTTACTTAATACCTACCTATATAAAATATTTAATTAAACTTTATACACAGATATTCACTTTTGATTTCAATTTTAATGAACATTGATAAAAACGATTATATCAGAACAAATCCATAGTTTAGGAATACATGAATTCAGCGTGGAATTGTTTTTAACTTCAATATTATAAATTCAGATGGCAATCTAATATAGCCTTTACACTCGACATATATATTCCGCATAAAATACTTTAAAGTTAGCTCAGACTAACTCAAAAATTCAACCCATCGTTAGACTATATTATATTGACGAATCGTCCGTATAAAAATTTAACGTGACTGGTACATATTTTATGTGCCTCTCATAAAATCATTTTTGTGGATAACTGATTTAACTATACCTGCAACGCCTGTTTATTTAACTGATAAAATTAAGAATGCCTGCAGCTCAATGTACCTTTGACATTTATGTGATATTATGTTGTATTTTTGTGTGACTTTTTTTTGTTTACCTATTTATATATTCAATTATCAATGCTATATGACAAACTAAGATGTTTTATTGCACGATTTTTTTTATGTTTTTATTGTTTTAGCAAATTGAATATTTTCTTTAAATAAATTTCCTGAAATGTTTATATCGTATTATAATATTTATATTATTGTTATATTGTGTGTTTAAAAAATTATATCACGTCATTTGTATTTCATTTTAAGAATGAATAAAACTATATTTAAAAATATAAAAATTCATTAACATACTATGAGAGTGTTTTATTATTAAATATTTGTTTATGGTGTATAATTTCTGCAATGGTGCAACGTCGTACAAACAAACGTAGGTATTTAAAACGTGTTTATATTTTATGTAGACTATAAAGTTACAAAAATGATAATTTACACGGCAGCCCCCATTGAGTGTTTTTACGTCATCAAGTTTGTGTCGCATCAAGTTATAAATACCGAACCAAAGTTCTAATAAATTTTCTAATTTTATTCAAATGATAATAATATATTGTTGTAAAAGGCAGTACAATATAAAAATTTGTATGGGTACATTTTTTTAGTGAAAGACACTTACCACAGACTTAAATATGATTGTCCATCTGGTATGGTTGTAAAGAATGTTTTTATATGATCACTGCTCCAGCATGAGTTGTTCCATCAGGTGGATTATAGGATTTGGTAAACTAGTAGGTAATTTTAAATAGGTAATAAGTTTATAAAATGCATTTCAGAGATGAGTGCAATATAAATTCTGTTCATTTGTAGGATGGCTCGTCTATGCGTTTGGGCAATACATTCATTTGAGTTGAAGGTTAATATGAGAAAAGAGTTAGGTACTCTGAAGATATTACATCTATACATTATTAATTTAAAAATTGTCGTTTAAGAGATTTGAGAGATTTAGGAGAAGAGTGGTAAGCATAGGTACAAATACAGCCATAGCCCCCCAAAAACCAAGGACATTCAATTTGAATAGCATATATTGTAATGGTCTACTGGCCTTTAATATATTCAATTGAGAAACTATAGTTAAATAATGGACAATTCAAGAAGAAAAAAATATCTTCATATTATTTTTAAATGATTATAAATAAAGATTATATAGAATCAGTGTTTGATATTTATGTGTCAAAAATTTCATAAATATACATTATGTTTCAGAAGTAAAATATCAAATATCATGACATGTTATAAAAACGAAAAAGTAAAAATATAATCAGTAGCAATATTAGTGAGCGACATAGGCACAATTTCAGTTTTTGACTTGAGGGGGCTATCCATATATAAATCAAACACACCCGAGGGTTGGGGGGGCTCCGCCCCCCACACAAATATTACCTGTACAATATACAACGTAATATTTTTAGAATTTTTATCTAAGCCCCTTTCCCACTTATACATTTTTCTCACTACTATAATTTAACTGAAAAATACATATCCCTAAGGGCTAAGACCCTAAAACACATTTATAATTACTAGGTAAGAAGGAAATTACATAATTACAAATACTAAAAAAAAAAATTATATATTAATTGTTTATAGTTGTAATTTATAATCATTTTTTACAAATTCTTTTAATATTTCGTTACTATATATATTTCATTAGATATACTTCTTTCAATACAAATTACTGATAAGTTAGTGAAACGATCTTGCTCCATAGAAGTGCGCAGCCAATTTTTTTTATCCGAAAATGACCTCTCACACGATGCCGAACTTATTTGTATTGTGCGTGCTAATTGTACAAGTTTAAATAAATTTGGATAAACAACACGATTAACAACTTCTTATAGATTAAGACCATCAATATTGATTTCATTTTCCTCATTTAATCTTAATAAATAGTTTTTTGCTACCTTCATTTCACATTTTATAGCATCAATATCAATATTATAATCAATGTTCAATAACTCCCAAAAATTATTTAATAGTTTTAAAATATTAAATTTAACATATAATATGAAAAAACATTTTATTTTTTATAGTTTTTTTCACTTTATTTGTTATGTTCAATAAAACATGTGCTGTCATTAAAATTAAGTTTAAGGAAATTGTCTACTCCAATTGTTATATTAAGGCTTTCTGATAAAAATCTTTTTTCTAAGTTGGTAACTAGACTGTCAATTATTTGA